TGTATAAGGTATATTGATAATCTTGTGACTCTTACATCAGCAGTGACAATGATGACACAAATGATCAGCTGTGTCCTGTTTTGTCCATTTGACACAATCCTGTAACCAAACAGCAATCTCTCCACAGATCTTCCCAGTAACCACAACCAAAAAACAAATAGTCATGTACCGCATAACAAATGTTCAGTCCACGATGGACCGCATATATAACAATGGACCCAAAAAATTTTTATGGAGCTGAAGAATTCCTATCACCTAGTGACATCATAGCCATCCTAATATAGTGCAATGCGTTACTTACGTGTTTGTGGTGATGCCGGTGTAAACAAACCTACCATGCTGCCAGTCATATAAAAGTGTAGCACATGCAACTATATACCCCATGTAGTACTGGGTAATGATCATAAATGACTATGTTGCTGGTTTGTGTATTTACTATACTATATATTTTATCATTCTTTTAGGGTATACTCCTTCTACTTGTTAAAAAATAATAAGTTAACTGTAAAACTGTCTCAGGTAGGTCTTTCAGGAAGTATTCCAGAAGAAGGCATTGTTATCATAGGAGATGACAGCTCCGTGGGTGTTACTGCCCCTGGGGACCTTCCTGTGCGACAAGATATGGAGGTGGAAGACAGTGATATTAATGATCCTCACTCTGTGCAGGCCTAGGCTAATGGGATGTTTGTGTTGTCATTTTTAACAACAAAATTTTTAATAGAAAAAGGCAAATAGGATAAGGATATTGTATTAGGGTTCTCTAGAGGGATAGAACTAATAGGATATATTAATATATAAAGCGGAGTTTAATAAGAAGTATTGACTCACACGATCACAAAATGAGGTCCCACCATAAGCCGGCTGCAAGCTGAGGAGCAAGAAGAGCCGGTCCGAGCCCCAAAGCTGAAGGACTTGGAGTTTGATGTTCAAGGGCAGGATGCATCCAGCACGGGAGAAAGATGTAGGCTAGAAGACTAAACCAGTCTAGACTTTCCACATTTTCCTGCCAGCTTTTATTCCAGCCATACTGGCAGCTGATTAGATGGTGCCCACCCAGATTGAGGGTGCGTCTGTCTTTCCCAGTCCACTGACTCAAATGTTAATCTTTGGCAACATCCTTTACAGACATAGCCAGGAACAATATTTGCATCCTTAAATCCAATCAAGTTGACACTCAATATTAACCATCACAGATATCAAGAAAAAAAAAAGTAGTTTGTACAACTGTAAAATGAACTTGCATTTTTAAGCTAAGTGTTATAACAGGAGGCAAAAAGTTTTTAAAGAGTTAAAAAGTTTACAAAGAAAAAATTTATAGTAAGCTGAGGTTAATATCAAAAAAAGAAAAATAGTTTTTATAAATGTAGTATAGCCTAAGAGTACAGTGTCTGTGAAGGTTACAGTAGTGTACAGTCCTGGGCCTTCACATTCATTTACCACTCACTCACTGACTCACCCAGAGCAACTTCCAGTCCTGCTGAAAGCTCTCTTCATGCCAAGCGCCCTATAGAGGTGGACCATTTTTTATCTTTTATACCATTTTTACTGTAGCTTTTTATGTCTAGAGGTGTTTAGATACATAAATGCCATTGTGTTATAATTGCCTACATGCTGTACAGGTTTGTAGCCTAGAAGCAATAGGCTACACCATATAGCCTAGTTGTGTAGTAGGCTATACCATCTTGGTTTGTGAAATTATACTCTACGATGTTCACACAATAACAAAATCACCTAATGACGCATTTCTTAGAATGTATGCCCATCATTAAATGATGCATTACTGTCAATCAAAAGAATCACCATTACATAATATAAAACAGGCATATCTTGGTGCCCAGATCCTCAGAGTTCCCACAAAGAAGTATACTCTTGCACTGTAGCCTTGACATGATGCCACATTCAGATGAGCATCCATCCAACATCAATCAAAAAGAAACATTGAAAAAGTATTGAAATCTTTTCAGTAAACATTCACAAAATGTCACTGGGAGATTTCATCCTAAATCCACTTCGAAACCTCTTTTTGCTCTCAAAAATCCACAAAACCAGGTACTGCAACTGTCCCCAGCCCCCCTTCTGTCTCCACCCTTCCCAGAATTTTCTCTGAAACCTGGCCCACTCTAATTTTTTCTTTCATGTCCTTCATTCTCTTAATCTTTTTCATTATGAGGAACTATTTGTCCCAACTTAATCAATCAAGCTTGTCTTCATCTTTTTTATGACCCAGTTCTGCATTACGAAGGCCCAGAAACTAAGCTGGTGAAGTCAGTGTTCTCCTGAGCAAACACAGAAGAGAAAATACTGTGATATTTCTTAATCCTGTCACAGAAGTCATGATACTTAGAGCAATGCTTCTCATATTTCAGCATGAAGCAGAATCACCTAAAAAACTCATCAAGGCTGGGCACAGTGGCTCAAGCCTGTAATCCCAGCATTTTGGGAGCCCAAGGTGGGTGGATCGCCTGAGATCAGGAGTTCAAGACCAGGCTGACCAACATGGAGAAACCCCGTCTCTATTAAAAATACAAAATTAGCCCGGTGTGGTGGCATGCACCTGTAGTCCCAGCTACTTGGAAGGCTGAGGCAGGAGAATCACTTGAACCTGGGAGGCTGAGGTTGCAGTGAGCCGAGATCACGCCACTGCACTCCAGCCTGGGCAGCAAGAGTGAAACTCTGCCTCAAAAAAAAGCTTGTTAAAGTGCAGATTCGTAAGCCCATCCTGAGAGACTTTAGTTCAGTAGGTCTGAGTGAGGCCTGAACATGCATATTTCAAACAAGCTCCTAGGAGGATACTGATACTGCCAGCCCACCAACCTCATCAGGAGTGGCACTGGTAGAGCCCTTGGGAAGAATTCCTAAAGGTCTTTTGGGCAGAATATGATTCGCCACAGTGTTTGATAGTAACACATATCTACGCTTTTCTTCTTTTGAGATATATACGTGTATATTCATACTCTTTAAGAATAGGTTAGATGACAGAAGACTGATCAACAGATAGAACTCATTCAGGAACAAAGAGAGGGAGAAAAGTAAAGCAGAGGGAGAGAAGAAGGAAAAAGGGAGAGAAGGAGAAAAAGGAGGGAGGGAAGGAAGGAAGAAAGGAAGGAGGGAGGGAAGGAAGGAAGAAAGGAAGGAAGGAAGGAAGGAAGGGAAAGAAAGAAAGAAAGAAAGAAAGAAAGAAAGAAAGAAAGAAAGAAAGAAAGAAAGAAAGAAAGAAAGAAAGAAAGAAAGAAAGAAAGAGAGAGAGAGAGAGAGAGAAAGAAAGAAAGAAAGAAAGAAAGAAAGAAAGAAAGAAAGAAAGAAAGAAAGAAAGAAAGAAAGAAGGAAGAAAGAAAGAAAGAAAGAAAGAAAGAAAGAGAAAGAGAGAGAGAGAAAGAGAGAGAGAGGGAGGAAGGAAGGAAGGAGGAGGAAGGCAGGAGGAGGAGGAGAGGGAGAGAAGAGGGAGGGGATGGAAGGAAAGGGGAGGGGTAAAGAAGGGAAGGAAAGGAGGGATTAGAAGGAAGGGAAGGAGGGAAGGGAAGGAGGGAAGGGAAGGAAGGAGACAGGGAAGGAAGAGACAAAGAAAGAATTTGGGATCCTCCCTGTTCAGTTGTCCAGCCACAAGTGGTAAGTCCCATCTACCACATTGCCGCCTGCCAAGGATGGGCGTCTTCAGGGTACAGGCCTCTAGGACAGAAATGTTTATTGCTCCCTTCCTGCCTATTATCTAGTCTGATAACATCTTCAAGATTCCTGCAGATGACCACAAATTCTACTATTACATGATCAACGCACCTGCTCTACTGTGGGCACCAGAAATGTCTGTGGACTAAGGCAACTCAGACATGGTTTCTCAAACCTTCAAATGAGATTCCTCCACACTGTCTCACCCTTCAGCACTGCTCACAGTTGCTGCACAACTGCAGGTTTTATCATGAAAAGTCATCAATCCTCTTCCCCATCTCTCTCTAGTACTATCTTCATTCCTATGAAGCAACCACCTTTTACTATTTTAGTTGTTTCTTAAAGTATTTGCTTTTATATTTCTAAATCATGTTTCCTTTTTTCTATTTTACATAGTATCTATTTTTTTCCTACTATAGGAAATGTAAATTTAGCTCCCTAAACTATGCTTCATACAGGCATTTTCCTTCCTAATCTTGGAAGACAGTTTTATTGCTTCTGAATAAATCAATATATCATGTTTTTATTATGACTATAACTATGATTCATCAGTGAGTCAAATAGCATATTATGATTGCATTTCCCAGTCTTAGTTCATTTGCGCTGCTATAACAAAATATCATAAACTGGGTAATTTATAAACAACAGAAATTTGTTTCTCACGGTTCTGGAGGATTAGAAGTCCAAGATCAAGGTGCTGGCAGATTGGATGCCTGGTGAGGGCCTGCCTGCCTCCTGGTTCACAGACAGCTCTTTTCACTATAACCTCATATTGTGCAAGAGACAAGGGGGTCTCTCTTGAGCCTCTTTTATAAGGGCACTGATCTCATTCATGAGAGCTCTGCCCCCATGCCATTTTCATCCCCAAAGGCCCCACCTTCTATACCATCACCTTGGAGGTGAGAATTTCAGCATATAAATTTGTGAGGGAAACACACATTCACACCTTAGCATTCCCTCTTTAAAATAATTTTGTGTTATTCTTAAAATAAATAGCTCCTTTTTTACCTACATTTCTTTCTTTGAGACCCTGCCTCAATCTTCCCATACTCTTCGATAACTTTCCATTTAATTTTCTACATGGGCAAAACTGTCATATTTATGTATCAGTTCCATTTATCTTTCCTGGATACATTTTTCCCAAGCCTGTCATTATCCTGTACGTGATGCTGTCAGCCTACAGGGTTTCCCTTCTCTTTCTCATTCTGAATCCCTGATGTCCTGGATTCCCTGTCTTCCTCTTTCTCGATTTAATCCCTTGTTTTGTAGGATACATCCTTCAATAGCTTACTGAGAAGAGTGTGTGGGAAATCTAAAAATAATAAAGGGACCATGTCTGCTTGAAATGTCTTTATCTTAATTTCACACTGGTTTGGTCATCTCACGAAGTACACATTTCTAAGTTGGAAATCATTCTTCTCTGAAATTTGAAGTATTGCACCAGTGCCTTCTAGCTTCCCGTCTTGCATTTGAGAGGCTGGATGATGTTCTTAGTTTGGATCCCTGTACGTGGCTTGATTCTGTTGTTTTCTCTATGGGAACTCCTCTCTGTAGCCATATTTCTGAAATATGAAATTCAACAAGACGTGGAACAAGTTTATTTTCCAATCATCATTGTATTAGGTACTCAGCACCCTTCTGTATCCAAAAACTCACGTCTTTCAATTCTGAAAACTTTTTGGTATAAATCTTTGATAGTATTTCTCCTCTATTTTCTCTATTCTCTCTTTCGGAATTACCTATTATTTGGATGTTAAAATTATATTACCTTCTAATTTCCTTATATTTCTCTCCCATTTTTCACTCCTGACTTTCGATCTACTTTCTAGAAGTCCTCAAACAGACCCAGGTTTGGTGGCTCATGCCTGTAAGTCCCAGCTACTTGGGAGGTCAAAGTATGAGGATTACTTGAGCCCAGGAGTTCAAGGCCAGCCTGGGCAACATAGCAAGACCTTGTCTCAAAAAAAAAAAAAACTAAACTAAAAAAATAGACATCCTCAAACTTATCTTCTAAACCTTCTATTGAACTGTTTATATCCGCTATTATATGTTTATTTTTCATGAGCTTTCATTCCTTAATAAATGCTTTTAGTCCTTTAACAAATGTTTTTATAAAACTCTTATTTTTGTTTTATGTATGTAAATTCCCTTCTCTCTCTCAGGATATTATTATCTTTCTCTCCCCCATCCCCCTGTTTCTTTTACAGTTTTTGGGATCCCTGTGCTAAACTTTTTCTTCTGACTTTTTTTTCAATTTTGGTTTCTGTCTTAACATTACAACCTTCCTCTTGGTGAACCCTTCATATTTAAAGGTCAGCCACCAAAACCCTTACTGGAAGCTCTGTGTGCATGATTTGTCAAGGGACAGGCTCCACTGTAGGATGCTTGGTAGGGACGTGGCCATTCGGTGTCCACAGATCTCTCCCCCACTCTCCTGCCAGTGTCCTGGGAACAGAACAGGAAATGAAGTCAGGGGAGTCTCACAGTTAAAATGTAGACTTTCATTAAATCCTGTCTCCACATGGCTTCAATCCCATCTTTAGCTGCCAACAGGCACATTTTTATTTTTCATAGTTTGCATCCTGACTGGTCCTTAGAAACACACGGTCATCATCAATGTGGAGACTATGGAGTTAGGGTAGGCCTGGGAACTTTATCGTAGGGTGGAAGGGAGACATACCAGAGGATACCCTCAGTGCACTAAATCCATGGTTAGAGGAAGCAGAAGGGGTGCCAGAATCTGAGGGCAGCAAGAAGTGAGAGTAGCATGCAGGAGAGAAGGTGCCATATGTGCACTTTGCTAACTTTTATGCTCGTCCTCATTTACTCACTTTCAATGGGCCAAGACAATTGACTTTTAATTATCTCTACCCACTCCCATCTTGCTGTGTCTTACGGGGAAGAGAAGTGGCAGGGAAGGTAATTCTAACTCAGGGAGTTTACACCACAGCAATATGCCCATCCAATGGTCAACTGTGAACAGAACTGCTTACCGGGAGGCTCTATCATGAACATGCCTGGTTTAGCAGAAATTCTGCTTGTGATCTTATGGTTCATTTCCCCAAATAATGTCATCAAAAAATATAATGGATAATCACTGTTGTGTAAATGAGTTGCAATTTTAAAAGGCATAATAACAGACTTTGTATATTCCAACCATCAAAAGGAATGTTCCCAGCCCTCCTCCTATTTCTCTTGGAACATCAGCAAACTTAATTGCAAGGGAAGTATAATAAAAAGATCTTAAGTTATCCTGCAGACATGAAGACATGGGAAGTTGGCTATAAAATTACATTTGGTTATTTTTTCTTATTCCCTGTTCAAACTCTGTCCAAAATTTCTCTATGAAATAGGAAACTTTCTTCCCCTTTCCCGCCTCTGCACTCTGCATGTTCAGAACCAACTAGCCTTTTATAAACTCTCCCCTTTATTCCCCATCCCAACCCTAAAATACTCAGCAGCATTAGAGGCTCATTCTTCATTGCTTTCACTGTTAAGAAAAAAAAAATTGAGCCCATAACAATGAACTTCCTACCACTGCCAAGATAAATTGTGATCAATCACAAAAAGTAATACATAATCCAAGAGAATGAGTATCAGCAGTTTCAAAGAAAATCAAGATGTGTAACCAAATAAACACAATATGCTCCTAAATACCCGGGAATCAAATTTGTAATATAAAAGGCACAGGGTGTCTTAGAAGTTATTGATTAAACCCCAAACTGAAGTTGGCATGGTATTTCAATAACAAGCACCGCGAGCTGTTTTCCCTTGCTTCTCCTTTTCTTTCACTTTTTCCTCCCCTCCTGTTCTTCTCTGGATTGAAAACTGAGGGATAATGTTAACTCATCATGATGTGAATTATGATCAAATTACATTCACTTTTGGGGTATAGCCTTCACCTAGAATATCCTGATTCTTTTTTACCTTAGGCTTTAAGCATGGAAGATATGGTACATATGTCCATTCCTTTGTTCTGCATCTTAAGCATAATTCATGGTCCTACAATCTAAAGAGTATGTTGCATGCTCAACACTGGGGCACTCAAAGCAAGTTCTGTTTAAAAGATGTGTGATGGGTCAAGCCTGAATAATCCAAAGGGACTCCAAAGCATAAACTAAGGTCATAAATGTTTAAGGAAACCTAGCCTTGAGTTTTCCCATAGGACAGGAGGAGGGGAAAGAGAAATCAAATAAATTCCAGCTAGATAAGCAGTCTGAGTGAAGGACAAGAGTACTGGGGGAATGGGGAAAAGGAGATCATAAAGCCAGGAAAGAGAAAGGTTCATTAAACTCGTGTTTGAAAGGAAATTGTATAAGCAGTTAATAAAGAGATCAAAACACAAGGGGTATGTTCCCAGGACCCTGGGCAAGTGAGCATCTGGCAGCTGACTTGTATATGGTAATGTGAACAAAGTAGATACAGAAAACACAGTGGCTTGAGAATTCCAGAGAGTTCAGAGCAGACATTTTCTGTTTCAGCATTACTGAAATTGTGAGAGATGCAACATAGCTAAATGTTCCTTTAAAAATATATATATATATATATATTTCCTTCTGGACAATGGCAGTCAAGATTTAAGCATTGTTCGTAAAAACACTAAAAGTCTTTCAGGAAATTTAGCTACCAAAATTAAAGAACAATGTATTCCATATTATATTATCACTCTTGACCCATTCTGAACTTGTTATTTTTCCTGTGTCAAGCAGCTCACCCTAGACAGTTGTCGGTAGGAGAGAATAATATGCAAAGGTTGGTGGTCAGAAGCTGCGGAATAACCAAAATGCCACATTAAATTTTTCTCATGAGAATTCTGCAAAATGCATGTGCAGGAAGCATTTCAGCAAATGTATGTAGGAAAGAAGATTCACCACATAAGCCACTCTTCTCTCTGCAGGAAATGATAGTCCAATATCAACAATGTTTCCTGAAAGCTGACCCCTTAGTCAGAGTCCAGCTGCTCTTGTTAACAACAAAGCTATGATTTATCTCTCAAGGATGTAAAGGAATGAAAGGCAAAACTGAGAAAGTTATGACTTATACAGATGAGACTGATCCCATGGGACAATGACTTTCCCACCATTTCTAGCTTCTGTTTTATACATTCTGGTACCAAAACATATCTCAGGGTCATTCTGGTGTGAAATGCCCCATCACTATCCTGTTATTTCACTTTTTCAGGATAGTGCTTCCTTAGATAGAAATTCATTAATTAAATTGCTTTAATTTATGAAGTAAACATTTTTTGCCAGAACAAGATTCATTGTGTTTGATTGTATACTTGTTTTCTTGAACATGTGCTAACTTGCATGGGGTAAGCCATGTTTCCAAGCATGCTGAATAATTTGTCTGAAGCACAATTCTCAGTCTCACCTTCCCTTTTATGTTCATTTCAAAAAGAAAGAAGAGAGTTTCTGCTTCGGAAGACATATGAATGTAGGAAACAAGAAGTAGGATCCACCCAACTCCAAAAAATCCACGCCCAAAGATCCAGTTGATAGGCCAATATTTTCATCTCTTCTTTCACAAGTCATTATCAGATTCCCTTTCCTAAGTTACTATAACACCCGCCTTTCTGGAATGTAAACAGTAAAAAAGTTCAGATTCTACTAAATTTTTTTGTACATTTTGCTTCAGTAAAAAAAAAAAGGAGACAAAACAAATAAACAAATAGAGATCAGAGAATTGGGTTTTTTCACTCTAGTTGTATTGTTTTTCTACTCTTTAGAGTAGGTAATAGGGTCACACACCTTAGACCTGTTGTCTCTATTTTATACACCCACAATACTCAACCACAGCATGTATGTTTACTCATAATTACATTGTGGCTCTTCATGGCATGAACCATCAAAAGAAGGTCAAATTAGTTTTAATGTTGCATGTACTATATTTTATTTAATTTTTTAACTGGAAATCTATGTAACTGTTAATTAACCACAACATTTTCTTAACCAAGACACTTCAATGTATGTACATATTTCATACTTGGGAAAAGTAGTCTAAATTCAGTCATAACACACCCACAGAATAGTTTTAACAGGGAGGTAGATTTTGTAAAGAAAATAGATTTCCAACAACCCTATCAGTGAAAGAAGCCAGGCACAAGAGACCATATATTGTATATTTCTATTTACATGAAATGTCCAGACTAGGTAAATCTACAGAGGTAAAAAAGTAGATTACTAGTTTGCAAGGGCTGGGGGTGGAAAATGGGAAGAATAGGGGACAATAGGAAGTGACTGCTAATGGGTATGAGGTATCTTTTTTAAGTGATGAAATATTCTAAACTTAAATTTTAGTATTAGTGCACAATTCTGTGAATATAATAAAAATCATTGACTTATAGAAATGGGTGACATGTATAGCATATAAATTATGTCTCCTGTATTAGTCTGTTCTAATACTGCTATGAAGAAGTACCTGAGCCTGGGTAATTTACAAAGAAAAGAGGTTTAATTGACTCACAGTTCCGGATGGCTGGGGAAGCCTCAGGAAACCTACAATCATGACGGAAAGGGAGGCACATGGCAGCAGGAAAGAGAAGTGCCGCGCAAAGGGGGAAGCCCCTTATAGAACCATCAGACCTTGTGAGACTCACTCACTATCATGAGGACAGCATGGGGGTAACCACCCTCACAATTCAATTATCTCCCACCGGGTACCTCCCACAACACATGGGGGTTATGGGAACTACAGTTCAAGATGAGATTTGGGTGAGAACACAAAGCCTAACCATATCATCCACGTAACACTTTTTAAAAAATATCCTCTCAGAGGTAGTTTCCTAGAGCTGCTCAATATATGGATGGGTCATTAAAATCCAAGTGAGAGGGATCCTTAAGATGAATCGCCTTAGCCTCACCCTCCTCTTTCTTTGGCAGTGATATTGGTTGAATTTCTGTTTCCCTCTCTGCTTTCAGCCCATGGACTTGGAGTTGTGCTTCCCCATCAGTTCACTAACTTTGCTTTGAATTTCTGGTTCTCTTTAAAGTAATATCCAGTCCCCCTATTTTAATGTCCACTGATCACTGACCCTGCCTCCTGGGTCTCATACAAAGTCTGACACCTGAACACATTTTGGCATCCTTGATCAGCTCACTCCTGGACTTTGTCAAGTGGAGTGTCAGTCTCCTCCGGAACTGCTAGGTTAGAACCAAGGTGGGGGCTCTGATGGACCTCAGGCCAGGCTCTTCAAGCAAAGAAGACTTGGCTTGATCTTGTGACAGCCATTTGTATTTAAATGAGATGGTGGGAAACATATGGAGACCTACAAAAGGTAATACCCAGAAGCTTCTTAGGCATTACACTGACCTACATATTATATGGTTTTCCATCTGGGCTGAGCCACCCTGCCCCCGATCAGGACAGATGTTATAGGGAGATGGAACAGAATGCAGGGAGTTCACAGCAGTACTATCTGGTCCCCCAGCATCAGGCATGTCCCC